GCTTTGGAGCCAGCACACCCTGCACTGGCACCCCGGCTGCGCGATGCATTTGTTTGTTGTTGGTGGCCTTCATAGACTGACCTCTGCCCTCATTGAGGGGTGCAGGAGGGATGGTGTTCGGAGGACCCGAGCCTCCTCCGAGGTGCTGACATAATGTCTGGGCTCATGAACGTCCTTGGAAAGTGACAGGCCAGGTGGAGCCGCAGAACACAGCCCGAGTGGCCCCCTGAGGTCCCATTTTCCTGGGAATGCTGCCAGCGTTTACCCAGCTCATGACAGCTGTCTGGCAATGCCACAGCAGGGAGAGAGGCCTGAGGTTGGCCAGGCCAGGCCTCCAGCTAGCAGGCTGGCATCTACAGGGAATACATAGAAATAGAAATATAAAAATTGCACTGGCCAGCCACTGGTGGCTCACACCTGTCATTCCAGCTACGCAGGAGGCTGAAATCTGAGGATTGTGGTTCAAAGCCATCCTGGGCAGGAAAGTCCATGAGACTCTTATCTCCAGTGAAGGATTTGAAAACTGGAAGTGGTGCTGTGGCTTAAACTGGTAAGAGTGCTAGCCTTGAGTGAAAGTAGCTCAGGGACAGTGCCCAGGTCCTGAGTTCAAGCTCCATGAATGACAACAACAATAACAACAACAAAAACTACACAACAAAAAGCACAAAACAAATCCCTCTGTGGTCTGTGGCCCAGATCAGGGGAGCGGTCGGGGACATGGCATTAACATTGGTAATGACCTTTGAAGGCTGTTGATCGGAGGAGGGTACCTTTTCCAGTTTGCTGCCCCTCTCCACCAGGCTACTGGAATGCAAGGAAGGCTACCGAATTTGTTACCGCCTCCCCTCCCAACCAGGCTACTGGAATGCAAGGATGGCTACCACATTTACTATGCAGGGCTTGAAGTTCCAGTGGGACCTTGGAATTCCAGGGGGAGGCACCCTGCATACTTGGCTGCTCATTTCTGGTTCAGCATGGGCTGAATTCTCTGAGCTCCTGGTCCCTCATTCATTCACACACCAGGGGTGATAAACTGGCTCTCAAAAGCCAGGTGCCTGTTACTCTAGCTGCTCAAGGAGGCTGAGATAGGAGGATCACAGTTTGAAGCCAGACCAGGCAGACAAATCTGAGAAAGACTTATCTCCATTGAACCACCCAAAAAACTGGAAGTGGAGGTGTGGCTCAAGTGGTAAGAGCACCAGCCTTGAGTGAAAAGAGCTAAGAGAAACTGCCCAAGAGGTCAAGTCCTAGTATTGGCACTCTACCCCCCCCCACACCAAAAAACCCAAGTCTCATAGTTGATCATGATTCAAAGACATGACTGCCTAGAAAAGCCAGTGAGCAGCCACCTCTAATGAACCGGCAAAAAGCGGGGCTGGAGACGTGACTCAAGTGGTGGAGCACCAGTTTCAAAATCCTGCTGAAGAAAAAGATAAAACCAGTCCCAAAGTACCACATGGAGTCCAGTGAGAGATCGTGACCCTCCTGCTAACCTGGCAAGGGTATAGATTCCCCCACTCACCCAACCCCCTGACTGGGCTATCCATTAAACAGGGTTTAGACTCCTCCTCTGGGCATGTGTGGATCTAGAGAAGTTTCTCTTTAGAACTTTCCAGCGGTGTGGTCTTCATCTTCTCACCGTGCTTTCCTCCCTGGACTTGGTGCTCTGCCCAGCTCACCCAATTCCCTGGTCAGGTTTAGGTCTAACCCCATCTCTATCTCTCTCTCTCTGGAGAATGGGGGGAGTGCCTGATTCTTTGGGGTCCCCAGCAGACATCTGGAGGCGGTTCTGAGAACATCCTCATCAACAGCCCCTGTCCAGCCCTGCACGTGGTCCGATCCTCCTCTCCCCGAGCCTCTGATCTGGTTTCTGCTTTCTTTCCCAATGCTCTGTTCATTCATAAACCAATCCTATTACCTGAATCGCCTCATTGTGCTTGTTGTACACCCACGAATTCTAGCTAATGTGGCCGTCCAGACCTCAGTCTACCCGCCTGACACCCGTCTTCCTGGGACTCCCTGTAGGTGGGTTTTCCAGCCATTTTTTTCTGAGGCCTCCATTTTCCTGCCCCTTCTACCTTTTCCTCCTTATTGATATTAACTCCTGTGTCTCTTCTCTTTCCTCCCAGTGGATGGAAAAAGCAGCCAGGCCAAGGTTTGGGAAGCTTCAACCTCAGTCTTCATCCAGTCAGAGATAAACTGTTCCCAGTGAAGAAATGAACCATAGCCAGGCACTCGTCACTCACGCTTGCCCTCCTACTACTCAGGAGGCTGAGATCTGAGGATCATGGTTCGAAGCCAGCCCAGGCAGGAAAGTCTGTAAGACTCTTATCTTTAATGAACCACCAGAAAGCTGGAAGTGGAGCTGTGGCTTAAAGTGGTAGAGTGCTAGCCTTGAGAAAAAGAACTCAGGGACAGCGCCCAGGCCCTGAGTTCAAGCCCCACAACTGACAAAAAATTAGAACATTTGTTTTGTAAATGCAAGGGCCCTGAGCTCAACCCCTAGTACTGAAGAAAAAAATAATAATAGAAGAGAAAGACAAGAAACACAGAAGTGAAAGACGTTTTAAAGAAAGAAAAAGGAAATCAAAAGAACAAATAATGAAAGAAGAGAAAGAAAAGACTTAAAAAAAAGAAAGAGAAAGAAAAGAAGTGAGAGAGAAAAGGTTTTTTAAGGACAAAAAGGAAAGCTGGAAAATGTCCTTACTTTTCAAGACAAATTTCAACTTGGATTTTACCCCAGAATTTTTTTAATCATACTTCTTTTTCCTACATCAAGGCATCGCGTGATAACGTGCAGACGATTTCCTCTCCAGGAAATGAGAGGGGGAAATCAAGGCAACGGCAATCTGTTTCACTAGGTTTATTGGAACGCGATAGAAACACAGAACATGGATTCAGGGCCCCGTCTCCCCTAGACGCTCCTCTTCCCAACAGCGTGCACCCCACTTCTGCATCTGGCAGAGACTCTGTGAAGGACCACCATGGCTCAGACACAGACTTATAGCGCCTGTTGTCTGCAGGGGCTGTGGTGGGGGTGGGGGAGGACAGAGGCACTTGGGCTCAGATCTATGACCAGAGTATGGCAGGTGGACCTCTAACTCCTTCACGGTAATCTAGAGATCCAGCTGCCTCAGACTCACAACCAAGTTTCCAGCGGATTTGTGTGGCTCCCAGATGAAATCCGAAGGCATCTCTAAGGATCCTCAGAGCACCAGAGCAAACCAACCTCCGTGTGTGTTTGCAGATTTGCTGTGCAAAGGGGTCAGCACTGACCCTATTCGACCGAATGTCTGCTTAGTCCCTACTTGGGTCTAGCGCTCTTCTAGATGGGACAAAAAGTCAGCAAAATGAAGGAGGTGTGAAGCCCGGTACTGTAGCTCACGCCTGTAATCCCGGCTACTCAGGAGGCTGAGAACTGAGGATCGTGGTTGGAAGCCTGCCTGGGCAGGAAAGTCTGTGAGACTCTGATCTCCAATGAACCCCAGGGGGGGAAAAATCAAACCCAGAAGTGGCGCTTGCAATGGCAGTGATAAATAAAAAATAAATAAATAAATAAAGAGGAGAAGGCCAGGATGTGAGGGGAGGGAAGGGCAGGAGGAGGTTGGGAAGATTAGAACTCTAGACCGTGGCCCAGGATAAACAAGGGAATGGGCCCAGGTTAACCTTTACCCCCCTGGAAGCCCAGTGTGGGTCTCTCCCCCTCCCCCTTTCCCAAGAAGAGAGCACTAGGAGAGGAGCAGGGATAAGGAGAAGGTGGAGACTGTGGTTGTGGATAGACTAAATCAAGATGAAGGGTTTTGGATACATCCAGTTGGAAAAGCAACGAGTCTCCAAGGAAGTTAGGAATCTGGGGGAGTTCTTCGGGTGTAGAGTTCTTCGGGTGTAGATCTGGGGTGTAGATGAGCTCATGGGGGAGGGGAAAGATGTTAAGGTGAGAAGGAACAGCTCGGGACAGGGACCTTGGGGGTGGCCATGTCTGATAGCTTGGAGGAGGGGAGGTAACGGATTTCCAAGAGTATTAAAGTTGAGTGGTCCGGTGCAGTGGCTCACGCCTGCCATCCAAGCCAAGTCAGGAGGCTGAGAGCTGAGGATCGCAGCTCAAAGCCGGCCCTGGGGGCAGGCAAGTCCCGTGAGACCCTTTGTCACCCACGAATCATCCAAAAGCCAGAAGTGGAGCGGTGGGCTCAAAGTGGTAGAGAGAGCCAGCCTGGAGTGGCCAAAGTTACAGGACAGAAGCCGACTCCCGGAGTTCGAGCCCCAGGATGGGTACAAAAATAACAATGAAAAAAAAAAAAAGAGAACAAAAAGAAACGTTGAGGATGGGGATGGGGGTGGGGGTGGCAATGGTCGCCAGCAGAGGGCGCTGGGGGGCCGAGGCCCTCACATGCAGTTTCTGTGTTTCCCCACACGGGCTCCCTGCACCCCGCTTCCTGATGGTGGTGAAGCACCAGCCAGGGGCTGACGGGCGTGAGAAGGGATCTCTGAGGCTAAGACAAGAAATACACTGACTTCTCTTCTGCGAGTCAGAGTAGTGTCGTTTTTTTTTTTAAAGGGCATGGGCAAGACTTCAGTATTGCTTCTCACCCATCCATTCATCCATCCACCCATCTATCCGCCTGTCCATCCACCCATTTATCATCCATCATTCACCCATCCATCTACCCATCTATCACCCATCCATCCACCATCCAACTCTCCATCCACACATCTATTAATTATATCATCCATCCACCACCCATCCATCGGTCCACATACCCACCCACCCATCCATTCATTTATCATCCATCCATCCATCCATCCACTCAACCATCCATCCATCATCCACCCATCCATCCATCCATCCACTCACATTACCATCCATCCATCCATCATCCATCCATCCACCTACCTATCCACAAACTTATGACCCATCCATCCATCCATCCATCCACCCACATTACCATCCATCCATCCATCCACTCATCATCCACCTATCCACTCACCCATCTATCATCCATCTACCCATCCACTCATCCATCCATCTACCCACCCACCCATCCGAAAAATATTGAGTCTCTCCTATGCTCCACACACACATCTTGCCTGAGTGACCTCAGGTGGGCCCTATACTTCCCTGAGCCTCAGTTTCTCCCTCTGAAACCTTACATGTGTATCAAGAGCTTATGCCACTGACCCACCTAGTACACAGTAAGGCAGTTTTTGTGCCTTCCTTTCCCTTCCCCTCCCCATCCTCTATCCTGCAGCCTCCTGCTCTGTCCAGCTTGGAGGACACACACACACACACACACACACACACACACACACGTTCATCCATGTCACCCTCACATACACGCATGCGTACATGCTTGCTGTCCGGCCATCTCTGCGCATGTCGAGGGCCAGCACTGTCGTGAACACTGATCTGTGGTGTTCAGCCCAGAAAAGGCTGGACTCCTGTCGGGCCATGTTGGACTCGGCAGCCTGGTCCACCCTGGGGCGGAGGCTGACAGCGCCCTCCCCATCCCCCGAAGGCTCTTCCCGAGTAGTTTTTTTTGGGGGGTGCTGGGTGCTGAGGGCTCCAGGGGTGATGTCGCAGGGATCAGGAGCGGTGTCTCCAGTGCCTGGCCCAGGTCTAGACAGTCTTCGAGGGCAGGGCCTGCAGGACTTCTTTGGAGGACTCTCTCTCCGTCTCCCCAGACAGTGATGCCTCTGAGGATAGCTCTTCCGGGGGGCTTCCTGGGGGTCTCTGGAGGATCCCGAGCCCCCACAGACTCTTGCAGCAGCTCAAGAGACTGCTGGAGCAGGTGGTACAGGACAGAGCCGGCCTCCTGTGGACACACAAACATGTCAGGACAGGCGCCATCTTGTGGGCCAGGGGAGAAAATCCACTGTGCTTTCTCATGGCAGCCAGGAAGTTCTTCCTCACTCGGGTGGGTTGGTCCTGGGGCTTGGACTCAGGGCCTGGGCGCTGTCCCTGAGTTTCTTTTTGCTCAAGGTTAGCGCTCTACCACTTTGAGCCACAGTACCACTTCTGGTTTTTCTGGGGGTTCACTGGAGATCAGAGTTGCATGGACTTTCCTGCCCGGGCTGGCTTTGAACTGCGATCCTCAGATCTCAGCCTCCTGAGGCATGAGCCACCGGCTTCTGGCTCAGTATCCTTGCTTGCAAATCTCGACTGTGCTTCCTGTTTAGTCAAATTGCTTAACTTCTCTGAGTCTCAAGTAGAGGCAAATGTCTTGCCTTCCCTGTGTATTCTTGAAGGAACTCAAGTGTGGCCAAATTATATATACCAAAAAGCATCCCCCACGAAGCAGGAAGTAAATTCACATTTGCTAGTCCCATAACCATTAAAAAAAATCTCTGGGGGTGAGGATTGAACCCAGGACCTCGTGTATATCAGACGGATGCTCTACCACTGAGCTACACAGCCAGTGCTGCTTTTCCTGGAGCTGAATGAGAGTGATTGCTGAGCATCTCCAGCATGCCTTGCATTGCTGGAAGATGGGTTCCTCCTTTTCCTTCCATGTCCCCACGAGGCTTTGTGAGCAAGGACACAGCCCTTGGCTTCCTTCCAACACACAGGTGAGTCCCAGGCCCAACACGCCTCACCTTGACCGGCACCTCAAGGTCACACCCCTAGTATTCCGCAGCCTTCCAATGTTCCTTCCCATGTTAGCAATGTACATATTTGACCAGGCAGGCATCTGACCTTGGACAGACACAGATGCAGCCTTGAACAGAGACCTCTTACTGAAATGATTTAAACTGGGAAGGTGGCTCAGTGGTAGGGTGCTTGCCTAGCATGCATGAAGCCCCGGGTTCGATTCCTCAGTACCACATATACAGAAAAAGCCGGAAGTGGCGCTGTGGCTCAAGTGGTAGAGTGCTAGCCTTGAGCACAGACAGGCTCAGGGACAGCGGCCAGGCCCGGAGTTCAAGGCCCAGGCCTGGCAAACAAAAACAAAAACTTGAACTTCAACGTTTCTTTCCCTCAACCTTGTTCTCCATTCCTTGGAGGGGCTCTGCCACTTAACTCTATTTTACCGAGTTTGACCAGAAACTCTCTGTAGATTGAAATCTACAGATGCCCCGAAAGAAATGTTCACGTTGGAATTGTTGTATAGAGAGAGTGTCAAAATCTATTCAACCACCAGGGGGCAGGAGCCAGCAGCAGCCCAACTCTGAGAACCCTGGCCTTGGGTGTTTTACTGCTTGAACCATACCTCCACAGCCCCTTTAGGCACGTGTTATTTTGCAGATAGGGCCGTTTTTGTTTTGTTTTTTTTTTTTCTCTTTAAGTCTAGGCTGGCCTGGACACAATCCTCCTATTTACGTATCTCACGTAGCTGGAATATCAGGTGCATACTCCATTTGTTTTCTTTGTTCTTTTTTTGGTTGAGATGGGTGGGCTGTCGTGGGGCAGGTCCCCTGAACTTTTCCTGTCGTTTGTTTCCTAAGCTGGCCTCAAACTGTGATCCTCCAGATTGCAAGTCTCCTGAATGGATTAGGATTTCACATGTGAACCGTTGGAGCCTTCCCCTCCCCCCTTTAATCGCTGGTTGGATGGTAAACTTCTCTGATTTTCGGTGCATTTCGGGCACCTCTCTCTCTGGGCAGCGGTCTCTGAGTTCTCCCAGGATCCTCCACTCCCTCCAGACTCCTTTTTTGTTTTCCCCCTCGGCCTTGGCGTTTATCTCCCTGGGTTATCTGACAGTTCTGTTCTTAGCCATGGTGGACACTGGATCTGTTATCTACCTCCTATCTCTGGTCAAAGGAGGTTTTCATGTGGAGGAATGAAGGCAGTGATTCAGCCCTGCCAGCCTCGCTCCTCAGGAGGCTGAGATCTGAGGATCGCGGCTGGAGGCCAGCCCAGGCAGGAAAGTCCGTGAGACTCCTATCTCCAATGAACCACCAAAAAAAAAAAAAGCTGGAAGTGGAGCTGTGTGGCTCACGTGGTAGAGCACCAGCCTTGAGCTAAAATAAAAATAACAAGCAAAGGGACAGCTTCCAGGGCCTCTCGGAGTGGCTCAGCCTTGGATGGATGGGAAGAGATTTTGGGCCTCTTGATTGCTTCCGCCTGGCTCCCCCCCCCCGCCCCCCAGTCCCTGGTTAAGCACTTTCTTCTCCCCCATAGTCCCCCACCAAGACCTCATCAGAACCCTGCACACTTTCGAGATCTTGCTACCCACATGACTTCAAGAAAGCAAGGTAACTGGGCCACGGGGAAACCGGCAAAGAGGCGTAGAGGGCTTGAAATATCTTTCTTTTTCCCGGTGACTCTGTTTCCACAAACTCCGTTTCCAGGAAAGAAACCAACAGGAAAAGAAAATCGTGTGGCAGCCTCTTTGCACGGAGTTGCTCAGTGTAGGGCAGCAAAGCCCTGGACAGCCGCAGGTAAACCTCCTGATCAATCTCAGATCTCTTCACAGGAGACCTGTCATTCAAGGCTGGGCCTCCAGGCTGGCTTCAAACACAGCACCCCGGTTCTGGAAACGAAAAATTCTCTCTACCTGGCCAGTGTGTCTTGGGGGTGTCACAGGAGCGGGGATGGGGGTTGGGGAGCACTTCTGGGGCTCTGAGGGCCCCCTTCCCCTACACACTTCCTCTTTCTGATTTCCTGTAGGGGCAGGAATGGGGGATGGGCGCGTCTCATTCCTCCAGCTCTCTGCAGAGGGGGCTGGAAGAGGAGGGGTTAACTTTGAGCTGCTCCCTTTGGGGAGGGGGAAGGAGATCATAAAGAAGAGCTAGCTTTAAGGACGGGCCTCTAAGCCTTCCTAGGGGACCAAAAGGTAGGGGGCCTCCAGGCAGACAGCCCACACCCCAGGCAGAGAGTTGGTGAAGGGGAAACAAAGCTTTGGAAAGGAAGGGAAAGAAAAAGCGAACACAGGAGGAATGGAAAGGAAGGAGTCGGGCGCCGGTGGCTCACGCCTGTCATCCCAGCTCCTTAGGAGGCTGAGATCAGAGGATCCTGGTTCAAAGCCAGCCCAGGCAGGAAAGTCCATGAGACTCTTATCTCCAATTAAACAGCAGAAAGCTGGAAGTGGAGCTGTGGCTCAAGGGGTAGAGCGCTCACCTTGAGCCACAAAGTTCAAGAATAGTATCCACAGGCTGGGAAGGTGGCTCAGTGGTAGAGCGCTTGCCTTGCATGCCTGAGGCCCTGGGTTCGATTCCTCAGCACCACATAAGCAAAAAAAAAAAAGCCGGAAGTGGCGCTGTGGCTCAAGTGGTAGAGCGCTAGCCTTGAGCTGAAGAGCTCAGGGACAGCACCCAGGCCCAGAGTTCAGGCCCCAGGACCGGAACCCACCCCCCAAAAAAAGAATAGTATCCAGTCCCTGAGATCAAACCCCAGGACTGGCACACAAAAAAGAAAGAAGAAAGAAAGAAAGAGGGAGAGAGAGAGAGAGAGAAAGAAAGAAAGAAAGACAGAAAGAAAGAAAGAAAGGAAAGAAAGAAAGAAAGAAAGAAAGAAAGGAAAGAAAGAAAGAAAGAAAGAAAAGAAAAGAAAAAAATAGACAAATCTACAGAGATGGAAAACAGACATAATGGTTAACTCTGGTGCAAGGTGCCTGGAATAAGATGTAGGAATTGGTAACCAATTGGATCAGGGTTTGTTTTGGGGGGTAGGGAATAAAGATGTTCCCCAAACTGATCACAAGGATACCCAAGTCTAGAAACTACTGATTTTTTTTTTTGTTTTGGCCAGTCCTGAGGCTTGAACTCAGGGCCTGGGCGCTGTCCTTGAACATCTTTTGCTCAAGGCTAGCGCTCTACCACTTGAGCCACAGCGCCACTTCCGGCTTTTTCTGTGTCTGTGGTGCTGAGGAATCGAACCCAGGACTTCATGCATGCAAGGCAAGCGCTCTACCACTGAGCCACCTTCCCAGCCCCTTGTTGTACACTTCAGATCTGTGACTTATGTAGAATAGGAAAGAAGAAGAAGGAGGAGGGGAAGGAAGAGGAGGAAGAGGAGGAGGAGGGATGGTCAGAAAGACGAGAATAAGGAAAAGCTGGAGATTCATGTATTCATGGTCCCACGTTCGGGGAACAATAGTGGGTGTATGGCACACAGAAGAAAGGAAAGAAAGAAAGAAACAAGAAAATGAATCAGAAGAGCTGTTCAGGAGTGCCAAGAGCGAGAGCAGTTTAGAAAGCCAGCCTTCTCTGGGGCCTGTGGTTGCGGCACTAACAAGTCTAGGCCTAGGGCAGGAAGTTCTTTTGTACACCCTGGCTCTTCTGCAGAAGTGTGTGTCAGCGTGTGTCACACACCAGCCTCTGCCACACCTCCTGTGCCGGTTACAACCTCCTCATCTTCTTTCTATTTAGTTAGTTATTCTATTTTTGTGCCCATCCTGGGGCTTGAACTCAGAGCCTAGTGGTGCTTCTGAATTATTGTTACTATTATTATTATTATTTTGCTCAAGGCTAGCCTCATTGCCACTCCCGGTTTTCTGGGTGTGGTTCCTTGGAGAGAGAAGAGTCTCGCTGGCTTTCTTGCCCTGGCTGGCTTCGAACTGCCATCCTCACACCTCAGCCTTCCTGAGTTGCTAGGATGACAGATAGGAGCCGGAACTCCATTTTTAATGCAAATTAGCTATGACCCTCTTCCAAGCCTGTCCATCACAGCTCGGGGGGGGCGGGGCTTAGCATTTCCCCCCTCCCCTCTCTCCCTCTCCTCCTCTCCCAAGGCTTTTCTGGATTGGGCCTCTCCCACCAGGACTCCCGGCAATTGATGACCTTCAAAGCTCAAGAACCAGGGGAGACCCATGAGCTCTGATCTCCGATCTCTCTCTTTCTGTGTTTCTGGAACTTTCCTCTTTGAGACTTGGTTTCCTGATCCTAACGCATTTCTCGGGGTTCTTGGCTGGGAAGGCGGGGGGAATGGGTGGCTAGGATGGAGGAATTATTGTTGTCCTATCCCCAGACTGGCTGGCTGGGTACCAGGCCCAGGGAATCTGGGATACCCAGGAGTTTCGTGTGTGTGTGTGTGTGTGTGTGTGTGTGTGTGTGTGCATGGGGGGGGTAGACATTAGACTGGTGGAATAAATGAAATGAGGTGGCCCTGTGTGGGACAACTTGTTGGGCCTCCAAAGAAGCTGGCACCAAAGCTAAGTGCTAAGTGCTGGGCTGGGCCTTGAGAACTGGGGTAAGGGCTTTCACACTAGATTCCGGGGAGCTACACAGGGGTGGGGTGCAGCCCAATTTACCTTGGGAAGGTCAGTGGTTCTTTGGCAGGCACCTGGTTAGGGCCCCAAGATTCCAGGTGCCTGGGTGCAGCCAAGCCCTGGGGTACAAACACAGGGCTTCCCCTCCCCCCCCACCCCCAGGCAGGAATGAGGAAGAGGCGCACCCCGGAAAGGGAACTGATAGTCCGTCTGCCCGTGAGTTTTATCTCTTCACCTTGGGAGGTGATGGGAACGGATGCCAAGGGACCCAAAGGGCACTGGGCAAGGTCCAAGACTCTCCCTTGGCAAACCCCCCTCCCCACCCCGTAGATGTACCCGGTGTGTGCCTCAGTTTCCCCTTCTGGTTTTTGTTTTTGAGGACTAGGACTGAGGTGTTGGTGTCCAGTAGGGGCCAAGGTTCAACTCCAAGTCTGGGCAGCATCCCACCGTTGAAAGATCACCCCGGGTGTAAGGGCAGCCGGGGTTGGGTTGGGATGTCAGCTCTGGGTACCTCTCATGGCAGCCATTTTGTGACTAGGAGGTCCGGGGGAACAGACTTTGAGAGACCATTTCTCTTTTCCAAAAGAGGACAGCCAGGCCTCGGCTTTGGTTGACATGTGCCCCAAACGGTGCCAGGACCTAACCAGACCTTGGCAAATGCTCTCTTTTGTGTTGTTTGGTGCCGGTCCTAGGGCTTTGGAGCTCAGGGGCCTGGGTACTATCCCTGAACTTTGTTTTACTTGAGCTATAAGCTCCCCTTGCAGCTTTTGGATGGTTTGTTGGAAAGAAGAGTCTCCCTGCCCTGGCTGGCTTTGAACTTCCATCCTCAGATCTCAGCCTCCTGACTAGCTAGGACCAGGGAGGCCAGCCCCCCAGCTCCCTCTCTCCTGGTATCTCCCCTGGACCCCCTCCTTCCCCTACAGCGGGCTGGGTTAGTCCCCTTGGGAGTTCTTGGCTCTGGCTTTGACCTTCACTTTGACCTTGGTAGTGATAAGGGCTGTGGTTTAACCCTGGTATTTGGCCCCAGATAGAGAGCCAGAAGGACCTGTGTTAAGCCAGCTGGGAAGCTGGGAGGAAGGACCTCACCAGGGCCTGAGGGAGTTGTAAGGTCTTGATGGCGTTGGCAATTTGGGGGGACTAAAATCAACCTCTTGATATGCCTAGTCTTTCATGTTCTCTGACCTGGCCTGAGGCTCATCAATTGGCTCCTTCCTCTCTACCCAGCCCCCCTCTGTCCACCATTCCTGGACATAGATTGGGGGAGGGGGCTGTGGTCTTTAGGCATATATGATCCTGCCTTAGTCTTGAACTCAGGGCCTGGGCACTGTCCCTTGTGCTTCTTTATGCTCAAGGCTATAGTGATCTACTACTTGAGCCACAATTCTAGCTCTGGTGTGTGTGTGTGTGTGTGTGTGTGTGTGTGTGTGGTTTAGTAGTGGAGATGAGTCTCATAGACTTCCCTGTTGGGGGGTTGGCTTTGAACCGTGATCCTCAGATCTGACAGCCTCCTGAGTAGCTGGGATGACGGGCGTGAGCTCTGGTGCCTAGCTACCTGCCTTATTCTTGAGCTGTTGTGTGACCAGGTGGGCCTTGGCTAGGATGAGAAGAGAAGGCAGGGCTGGGGCTGTAGCTCCTGCCTGTAGTCCCAGCTGCTCAGCCATCAGCTCCTGGCCATAAGCTTTTGTTTTACTTTAAAAATAGGTTAGCAGATTTTTGTCCTTTGTTTTTCTTTTCCTTTCTTTTGGTCCAGGACCTCAGCCTCCTCACCTATAAAGAGCTCTCTTTGCAAAACACAAATCTGAAGCTGGGGTGGCAGGGTGCTCAACTTAACCTGTGCCAGGCCCCGGGCTCACACCTGTCATCCTAGCTCTTCATGAGGCTGAGGTCTGAGGATCACAGTTCAAAGCCAGCTGGGGCAGGAAAGTCCTTGAGACTCCTGTCTCCAATTAAGCACAAAAAAAGAGGCAGAAGTGGAGCTGTGGCTCAAGTGGTAGAACACAAAAGCTCAGGGACAGAGCCCAGGCCCTGAGTTCAAATCCCAGGCCCAGCACACACACACACACACACACACACACACACACACACACACACACACGTTTAGGGGAAGCCATTGACAGATGATAAAGACATCAAGGCACACATAACCATCACCCGGCACACAGTGGGTGCCTTACCTGTCTGTGTCTCCTTGGGAAGCTGGGATTTCCTTCCCACTGCTGCACACCTGGAGTTTCAGGGACTTCTCCCCGAGACCCTTGAGCTCTTGCCTTTGGCATCTGTCCATCAGAGAATGATTAGCTCTCAGATACGTGGCAGGGGCTGGCCGGCTGGCCGGCCTGCAGCGGAACAATCGCTGGTAGGCGGTGCGGAAGTCTCTGTTGAGGGCTGCATAGAGGATGGGGTTCAGGGCCGAGTTGGCATAGCCCAGCCACAGCACTACGGCCTCGATCACCTGGTTGATGTCTCCGTTGTAGCCTCGGTAGACGAAGACGGTAAAGTACGGGAACCAGCAGACAATGAAAGCCCCCAACACGACCGCCAGTGTCACGGTGGCCTTATGTTCCCGCACTGTGGCGGCCTGCCACGTGCTAATGTGGTTGATCCTTTTGGCCTGATCCCGGGCGATCTTGAAGATCCGGTAGTAGGTGACACACATGACCACCAGCGGCAGGTAAAAGGTCACCAGACTGTCCACCAACCCGTACTCTGGGTTTACCTGGACCTTACATTGGTCTGTGGTGTTGTTCAGCCTGCTGGCCTCGGGCCTGCTGTTCCAGCCCAAGTGAATGGACAGGAAAGACAAAGTGATGGAAATGACCCAGATGAACACCAGCGAGATGGCCACGCGGATCGGGGTGACCAGCACGTTGTACCTCAGTGGGTCCGTGACAGCACAATAGCGGTCCAGGCTGATCATGAGGAGGTTGAGGATGGAGGCCGTGCACAGCATCACATCTAGGCTAGTGTAGATATTGCAAAAGATGCTCCCGAAGCTCCACCTGCAAGACAGCTGGTGGACGGCAGAGAAAGGAAGCACCAGGAGCCCCAAAAGTAGATCGGTGACGGCCAAAGACACGATAAAGCAGTTGGTCAGATTCTGGAGATGGCGGTTCAAGCTCACAGCCAGACAGACGATCACGTTGCCAGCCACGGTGATCAGAATGAGGACAGTGAGGACCACGCTAAGAGCGACCTTGAAAGGGGTGGAATCTAGACAAAAGGAAGGGGCTGTCCCATTGGGTTCCATGTTGGGGGAGGGGGGAGGGCTCTACTCCCTCCCTCTCTCTCTCTTGTCCGCTAGCCCTGGGGCCCAGTTCTTTTGTTAGCTCTAACGACTGCCCAGCCTGGTGCTGGTAGCTCACGCCTGTAATCCCAGCTAGTCAGGAGGCTGAGATTGGAGGATCGTGGTTCAAAGCTACCCAGGAGGGAAGGAAAGTCCAGGGAAATGCTCTTATCTTTGATGAACCAGCAAAAAAAAAGCCAGCAGTGGAGTTGTGATTCAAGTGGTAGAGCACCAGCCGTGAGTGGAAAAAACCTCAGGGACAGCACCCAGGTTCTGAGTTCCAAGCCCCAGGAATAGAACAGCAACTACAACAAGCAACAACCCCCCCTAAAAAACCCTGTCCAACTTTGGAGAAAAGTCAATGGCTGGCCCAATGTCATTCTTCTAGAAACAAATCCACAGTCCCAGCCCATCCCCTGAAAAACCAGCTTCCACCCATGTGTGGGGTGGATCTTCAGTCTCCTGACAGCATGTGGAAACTGAGGCACGGGAGTGTGCATCAGGAGGAGGCTCTGGTTTTAAGCAGGAGCACTCGAATGTAAACAGCGCCATGTCTTTGTCCACAGCTGACGCGTTGTGGCTTTTGCTATGTGGTCGTGTCAAGAATTGGAGACCCCCCCCCTTTTTGTTGAGGAGGGGGGAGGAGGAGGCTGGGGTCACGGAGAAGTAGGAGCTGAAAAAGAAAAGATTAAATATTGAGAGTCTTGAAAGGAGACCAAGGAGCACATTAATCTCTACTTTTTCTCTGTGGTCTGAGACCGGGACTCGAACTTGGAACCTGAGGCTTTTGGTCTATGGATTAACAGGCTCTACCCACTAGGCCACACCTCCTATCCCGAGCCTGCTCATCTTCACAGAATATAAACCAAGCCTCTCCCAGCCTCCTGCATGGAGTAATTTTGGTTTTTGTTTTTTTTTTTTTCCAATGTAGAGACCAGAAGTGTCGGCAAAGAAGGGATCTTGTGTCTCCTTCTGCTACTCCAGCTGGTTCAGACACCCAACCTTGCAAGCCGGGCTTTTGGGGATAATTATTTTTAGAAGATCATGTCATTACATAAATAGCCCAAAACAGCATGGGCTTTACCACCGGAGGTTAATTAATTGCAGAGCGGCTTGGAGTAAGGATTTGTTTCCTGAGAATCCCTACTTATGATTTAAAAACAAGGGTGTTTTTTTTTTAAATTCCCTGGCGATTTAAAAACAATTTTTTTTAAAAAAAAGATTTCACACCAGTCACCCTAGCTACTCAGGAGGCTGAGATCTGAGGATCGCAGCTGGAGGCTCATTTTGTTCTGCCACTTGATCCACACCTCCACTTCTAGTTTTCACTGGAGATAAGAGTCTCCATGACTTTCCTGCCCGGGCTGGCTTTGAACCTCCATCCTTGGATCTCAGCCTCCTGAGTAGCTAGGATGACAGGCGTGAGCCACCATCCAACAGGTGCGTGTGTGCGCTCACACACACACACACACACACACGTGTGTGAAGATGTGCCAGTCTTCCAGCCACTTCCGGTCCCACCCACCCCGCTGGGTGGCCACAGAGAGACATTTTTAGTTGTAAGTTTTATGACTTCCTCTTCCTGTTTTCTCTCAGCTTTGCTTTAGTTCTTCTGGGAAAGGAACTTTCAGGAGAATTTTACTCCAGAATTCACTCTCTGTCTCCCTTCCCTCCCCTCTCTCCACCTCCCAATCTCTTTAAGCACAGATGCTTTGGCCAGCCTGCCATGAAAGGCAGGTCCTGGGGTTACCTCAGTTTCTCCCTGTTGAGTTCTACTTAAATGTCCACATGGGAACCCACATAGCTGTCCTGGTCCCTGGTGGAAAATGCCAGATCCCGTCTGACTCCTTGGCCAGTACCCTATCCTTTCTCTCCTTCCTTGCTTGCTCAGTGAGCTCTGGATGCTTCTCCCAAGGCCTGGTCTCCAGCCGCCTCCTCCAGGAAGTCCTCCAAAGGCCCTCTCCAAGATTTTCCCCATTGCCTTCCATTTACAGCCTGGCATGGAAGTGGGGTGCGGGGGGGGGGGA